TTTTTTTTTTAATCCTCCCTCCAATGTTCACTTCTGGAGGTGTGTGCGCATAGGTGGAGTTGTCTTGTTGACTTCTTAGTATTTCTAACAGTCTTTTTGCGCTTGCATTTTTTTTTTTTTTTTTTTTTTTTAACGGCACTATTTTAAATGTATCTGACCCCGATATCGCCCACCTGCAGGTAGCCTGCATGTTCCCTCGTTGGAGGCTTGAACACAGATGTGGCTGCCACGGCCCCACGGGGCTGCCCATACTACTATAATGATAATACAAAAAGGCCTGAAAGGCTGTGCTGTCCAGATAGGTTATTGAATTTGTTGGGCCTAAAAGAATTAGCCTTAAAAAAAAAAGAAAAGAAAAAAATTATCTGACCTCGTTTAAGGCCTGACCTGGATGTATGTGACCACAATTACGTCCAGAAGTAAGTGAGAAAGTCCTAGTGTGAGTGAGTGTGCCCTTGGCATTTCCAATACCACACCATCAACCACTCGGACATATATATATATATATCATTCGGACATTTTTTTAAGTTGATATTTCTGGTTTTTTTTTTTTTTTTTTTTGTTAGTCCATGGTGTTGTAGAGGCCAGTCACTGAGTGTGCAGTGATCACCTGAAGTTGTGGGCCGTGGGTGTCCTGGGTTATGAGTGCGCTAGGAGTATTGACGTGATATTTCTGTTTCCTCAGACTGGTACAAAATCCATTTCTATTTTTTGAGGAGTGGGGGGTGGGGAGATGGATTATGCTTAAGGAAATCAAAAACCCTTTAAGGGGTACGCTTCTGCTAATACAGAAATTAAAGACATCAAGGAAAGAAATTAAGAAGTCGTGTGAAGTGCTTTGAGCTGGTATGTCCAAATCTGCCTTTTTTAAGTTCCCCCCCTGAAGAAACTCATATTACCCGTTCTATGCCTTTGTAACTTTGTTTCATTTCTTTTTGGAAACGAGGAACTCCAGTCAGTCTGCCAGTCCTGTCCGCGGCGCTTCGCTAGCCAGTTTAATTCCCCCTTAGCGGAAGAGCTGGAGATTCAATCGAAACTCCGAAGGAGGTCAACATTGACGACATCCACCGACTTCACGGAAACATCATGTCCAAGGCAATGCACGCTGCAGCGCATTGGTGCGAGCATGGAGTGCGATCCCACCTGGCATCACCGTTGGAGGGGCGGGTGACGGAATTGGCTGTGGCAAGCACACCTGCATCTGCGCGCTTGCACTCGGCAACGACGACGTCCTCGAGCCGACATCCATTTTACGGGACGAGCTCGCAGCCGTGTCATGAACTTGCAGCAGGGTCCTTGTCACGATTGGCGCCGGTTTGGGAGGTCAGCGACCCAACCCGTCCCCTCGTTCCCGTATCGGTTCCGGTCTCCGGTCCAAGGAGCGCTCCAGAGGGTAGGTTTTGTCCGGTACCCCGCGTGGTGAACCGCGGTTGCATGGCCTCTTTACCGTCAGCGTTCCTGGGAAGACGGCTTACGCGGGGGGGTACTAGAATCGCGCCAACCAATGTGTTGTTGCCGTCTCCTCGTTTTTCGCTCCCGAAATCGGCTGTCCCTAAGGCGTTGTTCACGGGGATTGTCGAGGAGATGGGGACCGTGCAGGAATTGCGACAAGTCGACAACGAAGGATGGGAGCTCACAGTGAAGGCATCTAAAGTCCTTGAGGGGGTGAATCTCGGAGATAGCATCGCAGTTAACGGTACTTGCTTGACCGTTACGCGATTCGATTGCACGTCTTTCGACGTGGGGCTATCGCCAGAGACGTTGAGGAGGACGTCGCTGGGTGAAGTATCAGAAGGCTCTTTGGTGAACCTGGAGCGTTCGTTGCGTCCAGATTCGCGGATGGGAGGCCATTTCGTACAGGGCCATGTCGACGGGACGGGCCAGATTGTCGACTTTTGGCCGGAGGGGGACTCGCTTTGGGTAAAGGTGAAAACTACCCCGGACATCCTTCGATACGTCGTTCCGAAGGGGTACATTGCCGTCGACGGGACAAGCTTGACGGTGGTGGATGTCTCCGACGAGGAGAGTTCGTTCAGCTTCATGCTCGTCGCGTACACGCAGACGAAGGTCGTCATCCCGAAAAAGGAAGTTGGCCAATTGGTCAATCTGGAGGTGGACATCGTCGGCAAGTACGTGGAGAGACTGGTGCAAGGGTACCGGCAAGGCATGCCGACTACTCTCCAGTCGTCATCGTCGTAATTTGTGTAGTACAGTGTGCACATGGAAGCGTCCCAACTACAGGACACTTTGCCTTATCTGAGGAGTCTTCATGCAATTAATGACAATAATGGAGATCCAAGTTGTTGTTGTTGTTGTTGGTTGTTTTTTTTTTTTTTTTTTTTTTTTTTTTTTTTAATAACCAAGGGTGAATTTACCCAAGGTGGGAAGTTATTTGTTCATTTCAATCTGTGAAGTCCTCAAAATGGCAGAGAAATGATGCCCCTCGACGAGCGATCCGTCGAAATTGCCAAATTGGAACGATTCAGAAAGCACTCAGCATGCTGTCATGTGTCTGCCTTGTTAGAAATTTTTCCAGCCCCTAGGGCGTACTCGCACTGGGACCGTATGGGATGTATATGACTGCCATCACGACCAAGTTCATTCAGTTGAAAAGTCCATCACGCACTACGATTATTGGGACGCCCCCCTCGAAAAAGAGATGACTTTGGAAACTTCTGTGTAGACTCCTTATATGCCTTTCTGGGATGCATATCACTGCCATCATGGCCAAGTTCATCACACACTACGATTATTGGGATGCCCTTCAAAAAAGTAGATGACTTTGCCGACTTCTCATAGGAGGCTCCTTATGCCCACCCACAAGTGGTTAAGACTCAAGAGAGGGACCTCCACTTTTCAGCCCCAGGTTAACGCCCCCAATATCCGAAGCTTGGATATTTCTGAGTTATAATTTTCGTTTCTACTGACCATGGAAATAGATGTTCACTTCTCCCTTCAGCGTTGGGATTTCTTGAGCGTCGAGTTTCCTCAACGCCTGAATCTGGATGCATTTTTGGAGATGTGCACGCACTTCTCCCTTCTGTTCGGCAAATCCATTTCACTTTTCAGTTGTTTGAACGTAGCCGAGGAGAATTTACTATGCTGATAGCAAACAAATCTTCTTCTTCTTTTTTTTTTTTTTTTTTTTTTTTTGCTAGGTTGATCATTGCTGTAAGGGAAAATTTTCGAAATGCCCCCAAAGTTTGCGTTTATTTGCGGCATGCCCCTGTAAAGGCCGACTTACCCTGTGGTGCCCCTCGGGCCTCTGAAATTTTCCGCAGGCCCCTGTCAGCATGGGGCGTAACTTTCCGATATGCCCTTACTGGACTGCTGGTGGCGTTTCGGCGGTAGGTCCTTGAAATGCCCTCACGAGGGGCACACATCTTTCTGTGATGCCCTTGCAGCAGTGAGGGCAGGAGTTCAAATTCAATGTGGTAGGCATTCCACACGCCGCCGCGGAAAAACGGTCTGTATATGTGTGTGTGTGTGTGTGTGTGTGTGTGTGTGTGTGTGTGTGTGTGTGCGCGCGCGTGTGTG